ACAGGGTGGGTGGCGGCTACTGCTATTGGACGGCCACGGCTCCCACACTCCTATTGACTTTATGTGGACTTGCCGGCAGCATCAGATCTATCTTCTATACCTCCCACCTCACGCCTCACACATCCTCCAGCCGCTGGATCTGGCTCCATTCTCTGTCGTCAAAACCCACTACCGTAGTCAGATCCGAGCACTCTCAGCACTTGATGACGCAGCACCTATCAAGAAGGAGAGGTTTGTCACCTCATATAACAAAGCAAGAGAGGAAGGACTATCTGAGAGAGTCATACGAGCCGGATGGAAGGCTGCTGGCCTATGCCCATACAACCCATGCCTCGTACTACACTCATCTCAGGTATCAGGCCGGCCTATTACACCTCCACCACCTCCTCAGGCATCAGATACAGTCTTTGCCACGCCTCAGAGCTCACAGGCCTTATACAAGGCTCAGCAGCAACTCCTTCTATCAGAATCTCTTTCACGAAGCACCCGCCTAATGCTTGGCAAGGCAGGCAAGGCTATTGCTAGAGCCAACACTCGCGCAGCTCGGCTTGAATCTGAGAATCAACGACTTAAATATCAACTAGATAGTACTAGGGTTACCCGCTCAAGAAAGCGTGTTCAAGTTAACCCAAATGAGCGCTATAGCAACGTTGAAGCTATTAAGGCTGCTATTGATCGGGCAGCAGCATTACAAGCTGAGCAGGTATCACGTTCAACTGAACAAGAAGCTCAAAAAGCAGCAGCAGCAGCAGCAGCACTCACGCTTCAGTCTATGTGTACAGAGTGGCAATTATAAACGTTGTTGAGAAATCACGACTCCAATCTGAGTGCTAGTGACGTGGTGGGGTGCGCGGGAACTATATGTGCGCGGAAAGTATATGGACTAGCTTAGTGTTAGGGTAACGTGGGAGACTACCAAAGCAGATCGCTTAAAAGGGGTTAAACCCTAACGCTAAGCCTCTTTTGCCGCGGTTCGGTGTCCTCCCCGCGCCCTTATCTTGGCTAGGTCTTTGAGCGGGAGAGAAGGCTGTCCGGGCAAGGTCTCGCTCTGCGCTGCGCCGGGCTCCGGCACCAGATCGCGAACAAGCTGATGTGCTTCAGAAAAGGGTGGCATGGCTGTGTAAAGAAGAGATCGAAAGGCCTGGTCTGTAGCTGCGACTCCTTCATGCGATGAGTGGATAGCAGCGTTGGTCCATGGAAGACGGCAACATGGACTCAGCCGTACCGCGCGCCAGCAGACGCAGGTGGCTTTCAGCCTGGTCGCTCAGCCTGGTTGCTCTCACACCACTTTGGTGGCAGTCAGCCTAGCACTTCAGCCTGGTCTCTCCTCACATCATTATTACCTCCTAGCCTCGCTCTCTGTTCCTTCCTCTCTTTCCCCCTTCAGAGTTTCATCGTACAGCTTAAGCAGCTACGGCTCTTTTACAAACAACAATGGTAGGTCAGGAGCGGCACGAAGCGTGCTAAGGCTGACGCAGAACCAGGTCTCGCCAGTAACGGAAGATGACATCGGCCTGAAGTTGCTCCGCGATGCACCGGCAAATGCATCCCAGATCATTGAGTACGTGCATCTGTAACATCTGCTTGCTCAGACTTACACTAACTTATCTAGCATTGTCGCGATCCACGGCCTCGGCGCCCATCCTGATGAGAGCTGGTGCGCGAATGCGGGCACTAGGGAAAGCCCGCAGTGGGTCAACTGGCTCAACGAGGAAAACATGCTACCGGCGTTGGCGCCGAACGCGCGCATCATGCGATATGGATATGAGTCGCAGTGGTTCGGCAAGGAGATAATGCAGCAGAGCGTTTCTACAGTAGCAGAGCGGTTACTAGAAGCCTTGCACCGAATGAGAAAGGTGCGAACTGTTCTCAGCAGATGTTGAAAGTCTGCTAAATTGATTAGGATGTTTGGTTTCGCCCACTGTTATTTATAGCGCACTGCTTCGGAGGGCTGGTTGTGCTCAAGGTGAGGAGGTGAACTTAAGAGCAACGTGCTAGCAGCTAAAGTCTTCCTAGACACTGTTTAAAGCCCAGCAATTCCAGGAGAAATGGTGTGGAGTATTTAAATCGACTACTGGTCTAATCTTCTTTGGCACACCATTCCGAGGCGCGGAAGGCATGAATCAAATGGAAATGCTGGAGGCAGCGCGCCGCGAGTACCACGAGGATCAAGTGCAGCCTACTGCTCTTGCGGTGTTGCAGCCAGGGAACGATTACCTAAGGGACGTGGTCAACGACTACTTGGAAATAATGCAGGGACAGACAAACAAGACAAAGATTGCATGCTTCTATGAGCTTAAGTCAAGCAATGTTGGAAAGATCGTGGGAAAGGAGGATCGCACAGTAGGTGTGCAGGAGTCGTGTGTAGAGAGTTGAGCTAATTGCATACACAGCGATTTGTGGTCAGCGAGAGCTCTGGGTGCCTTGATCTGTCGGACGCAACAACCAAACACTCGCTCTCACGCACCCACTTCAATATGAACAAGTTTGCAAAGGCTTCAGGTCAAGATTGGGATACAGTAGTTGAGGTAGTTGAAGGTATGGTGGAGGCATCTCAACTACTTGTGTCGGCTCGCTCTCAATGTAATTACACATCCTAGAGAAGATAGGGATAGACAAAGGTTGACTGTTGTGACAGACCACGGCAAGCACAAGATCGAGCTTAGTCTCCAAGGCGTGCCGGTAGTGAGCCAGTTCGTAGACCGGCCAGCTGAGATGGCAGCGGTCGAGGAGCTCCTTCTTGAAACCTCGCCCGCAACAAGGCGTCAGCGGAAGGTCGTCGTCGTCCACGGCCTCGGCGGCATCGGCAAGACGCAGCTGGCCGTGGAGTTTGCGCGAAAGCACCACTACCGCTTCAGTGCAGTGTTCTGGCTGGACGGGTCGTCCGAGGCTAGTCTGAAGCAGTCATTTGTCAATATGGCGCAGAGACTCCCACGCAGCGAGCTGACCGCTGAAGGTGCAGCGCAGCTCAGCGATGCAACTATTGAGGCTGATGTGGCGGTGCGCGAGTGTCAGCGGTGGCTGTCTATCCCGTCGAACCCGCACTGGCTCTTGCTTATCGATAACGTAGATCGCGACCACCGCGACCCAGACGACCCACAGGCATACAACGTCAAGGTATACCTTCCACATGCAGACCATGGGTCGATCCTTGTCACGAGCCGGCTATCTAGTCTCCAGCGGCTGCTCGGCTCCGGGGTGAAGGTGGGAACGGTGGCAGCAGAGCAAGCGCGTGCTATACTGGAGAATAACGCTGGCCGGGTGGTCGAGAGTAAGCGGAAGACGAAGTTTGCGGCTTAGAGTTGTGGTCGCTGATGCAGACTGAACAGACGCCGAAGTAGTGGTTGAGCTCCTCCACGGGCTGCCCCTCGCCCTCACGCAGGCCGGGTCGTACATGGGCGACACAGATGCGACCGCGACCGCGTATGCGAAGCACTACAACCGCACATGGAGCCAGTTGATGGCGGAGGAGGCGCGCTTCCCACTGGAGGAGTATGGCGACCGAAGTGTGTTGACAACCTGGACCATGTCGTACGAGCAGGTCTGCCGGCGGAGCGAGGTGGCTCCTGGCTTGCTGAAGCTATGGGGGTTTCTGGATAGTGGGGAGCTGTGGTATGAGCTGATCGCGGCAGGCTCGGACTTGGCAGCAGAGATGCATGTCCCGACATGGCTGCTAGAGTCGGCTAAAAATGAGCTAGCGTTCAATGCGGCGATGGGGCTGTTATCACGCTACTCGCTTGCGGATGGAAAAGAAGGCACGGGTAGCCACTCGATGCACTCAGTGCTGCATCGATGGTGCGGGTACCTGGCAGAAGACAAAGAGCGGCAAGAGCTAGGTTGCTTGGCGGCAGGGCTAGTGGCGTCGGGTGTGCCTGTGAAGTCAGACATGGAGTATTCGAAGAAGCGGAAGCGGATAGTTGCGCACGGTCTCTATGTCAGTGGATGGATCGAAGAGGGCGGCGGATTGGATGATGAGAGGGCGGTCGGGGCGTTGATACGGCCAGACTGTTTTCACAGCATTGGGTACTTGCTCAGTGATGAAGACAGGCAGCGTGCAGTGCAGATGTACCAGCGGGCGCTGCAAGGCTTTGAGAAGGCATGGGGACCAGAGCACACATCAACACTCGAGACAGTCAACAACTTGGGCAACCTCTAT